AGCAGTGTGAGGCACTGGGGGCAGGGGTGGATGGGATGGGGCAGTACCTGCAGCATTGTGAGGTCACTGGGGGTGGGGTGATGGGATGGAGGCGGTAGCTGCAGCACTGTGAGATCTCTTGGGGGGATGGGATGGGGCTGTACCTCCAGCAGCATGATGTCATTATTATGGGACTTCTTGTCATAATCCTGGTGGGGGTACTGGCATCTCACAGGGACCACTTGTCGGCTCTGTTCCTGTTTGGTAATATCATGGACTCCCAGGATGACAATGATCTTGCTGCAAAAGCCGAGAGCAACATGTGGGTTGTAGGGGCTAGAACATGTATATGGTATGGGATGCGCACATGTGGGTCTGACACAGGAATATGGCTACTTGTGGGGGACAGGGAAGCCTGGGGTTTAAAGAAGTGATTTCAGACTCAGCTCCCAGCCAGTAAAAATGTAAAATAGCCATTGACACATTGCTGATCCAGACCCAGGACTGGAGACTGACTGTCTGGGGGCTGGGGAATGGGAGATGAGGCCTTTTCCCTCTTGCAGAGCTGGCTCTGATCCATCTTGGGAAAGAGACTGGCTTCCTCAGGTGGGCAGGTGCATGGCACAAGGTCCTTTCCTTCATGGCGGGCACTGGCTCCAGCACAAAGCATCTGCCCAGAGGTGTTGGGATCCCAGCCTATGTCTTCACCAGCCCTTGTGCTGTCCCACAAGCGGCTTCACTCCCTATTGTCCTCCCAACCCCTGGGTCTCAGCTTCCCTTATCCCTGTGACCCCTCCTGGCTAGATCGAGACAGGGGTCCATGCCCAGACCCCCCAACCCAAAGACTTGTAGAGCTGTCCTGGGGCTGTGAGCACCTCACTGCCCTGATTTGGGCAAAGGACCAGACCCCAGCTGCTCTCACTGGCTGTAGCTCCATTGATTTACCCAGCATTGGTGCTGGACCATGGTTTGCAGATGCCCCTAGAGACGCCAACGCTCCCTGAGCAGATCCGACCCACGGGCTTTGCTTTCCCAGCCTGTCACATTAACTGCTCCTTCCCTGCAACTAGGATGGTGCCAGAGCTTCTGGCTCCCCCATCATCTGCTAAATCCAATCTGCCCCAACATCCCCAGCACTTACTTTCCATTACAGTGAGCGGCCGTCAGCACGAAGTTCTCCGACACTAGGAACCCTCCACATAAGGATCTACTAACTCCATGTTGTATTTCCAGATAGGCCATGTAGGGTCTGGAGTGGGGCTTGGCTTCCCAGCCCCCGATTATCTCACCTGGGGGAAGACCAGGTTCATATAAAGATCCCCATCCTGAAGGGGAGTCTGCACAGCCTCAACACACCCCCTGTGATGTTTTCCTGTGGGGGGATCCCTGTGCCTGGAACCCTGCCCGCTGCTCCGCTCTGTGCCAGACTGAACACCCCATGGGGCTGGGGGTAAATCTACAGCTCTGACCTATCTGGGTGGCGAATCAGTGTCAAACACACCGGGAGTGGGTAAATAATTGCTCTGCCTTCAGTTAACGGCTTTGGGAGGCAAAGTCAACCAGAACACCACTGACACATCCCATGCTGATGTTTCACCTTCTCCATCAAGCCACAGTGACAAGCCAGGGCTGCTCCAAAGCTGGTCCTCCAAATTCTTTTTCAACAGAAAATTGGGTTTTCTAGATAATGAAAAGTTTCTTAGAACACACCTCCTCTCCTCAACATTTTGGCATTTTTCTTCGAAATCTGATTATTTCCCCCAGTTTTTGGCACTTTTCAGCTGAATATATGTAAATATTTGGTCACCAATTTTGCCAGAGCAGAGATAGTTAATTATTTTTTGTCAAGGTCTAAATTTCTTGGTCAAGGTATAATCAAGGATAGACTCCACAGAACACAATAATAAAAAGCCAACAATATTGATGATAATAATAATAATAATAAATAAAAAGATTTTGGGGTCCATCCAGATTTGGTCCACGCTCCACCTATTGACTATCTCAACATGAGAGAGTAAGAAAGAGTGGCAAGGTTTGCAACAGTAACATGCTGTCTCTCATCTGTTTATCCCCACTTCCTTCCCTACCCCTGACCCATTACTGCTTTCGTTTCTCCAGATGTTTGTCACATTTCCAAGATCTAAGGCAACATTATATGCAAACCTGGCCAGCAAATTTGAACTAAACCCTAGTCCCCTAAAGCATTGGGAAGAGGAATTCGGCCAACTATTTTCTGCTAAGCAAATGGAAACAAATTTTAGACAGTGCTCAGAACTACTCCTTGGAGCTACATTTAAGATTAATTCCATGGGAATACGGAGGATGTATTGGACCGCTCTTCAATCGTTCAAAACAGATGCTGCTAAGAGACAAATATTGGTGCTGTAATTCGGCAGGTGCTGACTTAACCCATATACTCTGGGAAGGCACCTAGATGCTTTGGGCAAAACTGAATTGGAGAGGGTTTGTGTTTTTTTTCTTTCAAATAAAATTAAACATATATTTTTCAACCTAATGGGTGTTAATTGGAAGCGGAACAAATCTGAAAGACCCTGGCTAAGCAGAGCACTAACAGTGGTGGAAAGACTTTTCCACAAAAAGTATTTTCCACAAAAACAGAAATCCAAAATGCGACCAACAATCAAAGATTGGACCATAGACACCCTAAGCTTGGCAGTAAAGAACGGTAGACTGTGTGTAGTGTGGTGGAGTGGCTAAGGGGTGTGACAGGAAGTATAAGAGGGCCCTCTAGCCCAGTTGAGCCTGAGCCAGGGAAGGAGACAGATGTCCGGGACCTGCTGCAGGCCCCAGGTTCTGCTGCCGAGTCAAGGATCACCCTGACTCCAGAGGAAGCTGAGAGTGGAGGGGACTGACCAGGATTGCTGGCAGGTTAATACCCCGATGAGACAGAGGACCTGTGGACTATGGAACCCCTTGCTCAGACTGTGGTAAGAAGTATCTGAGGGAAAACAGATGCTGGTGCAGTTTGTTTGTCAGAACCTCAGTCAGCGTGTTGTGGTGGGATCCCCACTGACTCATCTGCCATTGTTAGAGCCCTGGGCTGTCACCCGGTGGAGTAGGGTGAGCCCGGGTCCTCCCTACTCCTGTTGCCTGGGGTGGCAACCTCACCACCTTAGGAAGAATGGCCTGTTTGTTGCTATGCCAGGCCTGAGGGTCAGCACCACCAGCCTACTTGGCGACTCATCCCTACCCCAGTAAAGGGTCCTCGGGTCCAGACATTTGATTCGCTAACTCCTCAATACTGGGCGGTGCCCCAGTGACATAGTGAGCCAGAGGGGGAGGGACAATCGCTATCCCACTACACTGTTACAGAGATACCCAAGAAAAGTTGTTAGAGACATGAGATGCTTTCCTGGAAATATCCAAATGATCTGAACAAATGCATGCCCCCCCTCACCTGCTCCTTTTCTCTATCCACTTCCGCCCCCTCCCCATCTCTATCCCCCTCCTCTGAGTTTTGCTTCTAGTCATTTTTTTTCCTTTAATAATTTTTCTTTAGTGGGATTTTTATAAGCAAATTGTGTTTGTAAATTGTGGAATACAGGGAGGGATTGATATTCTAACCATTCATATTACAGATAACATGTCAAGCCTAGCTAAGGTGAGTAGCAAATACTTAATATCTTATGAGAAGTTTTGGTATTATGAGGAGTTTACCTATATTTTGTTGTTTGTTTTCTCACTTTCTCTCTCTGTCTTAAAAAAATTAATAAAAATTGAATAGAAAAAAAACCCGAACTTTGGGGGCTTTCAATGAAACGTCAAAATTTCACATGGAAAAATAAAAGCCTCTTGAGAGCAGTTCAGAACAAGTCTCAAAACACATGGGTCTCTGGGCATGAAACCAAATCTAGACAATCGATGTAAAGACATCAGGGTGGAGGGGACAGAAGGGCAGGGGAAGAGCTAGTGAAGCTGAAGGACAATGTTGTCACAAGGACAAATGGGGATAAACTGGGCAGGGATAGATGGAGGTGGAAGTGAGAAAGTCTCTGTCCATCAGAGGGATGTAGGATTTAGGAAATGCAAAACTGCACCATTTGCTTTAACCCCAGGCAGCCCCCATATGCAGGCACTCGTATGGGTGACCCACCGCTGGTTCTGTGGGGTTAGCTGGCCCCTGGGAAATTTCCAATGCTATCAGCCAAGTTTAAATCACAGGGGAAACTGAACCATTTGAACTACAGATGTGGTTTGAAATCAGTTTAGTTAAACCAATGCAAGTCTGTGTGTAGCTCACACCTGACCATTTTCAGCGATGATTTAGGAAAGTTAATTTGGCATCAAAATCAATCAGGTTGTTTAAAAATCAGTTGCTGTTATTTGCATATGGTGCAACCAACCTAGATCAGGGCCTCCCTTGTGCCAGGTGCTGCACAGACCCCAATCAAGATCAGCGCCTCTATTGTGCCAGGTGCTGCACTGAGTTTGACCGAGATCAGGGCCCCATTGTGCTGAGCACTGCCAGGACCCTGACCAAGATCAGGGCCCCGTTGTGCCAGGTGCAGCACAGCCCCTTCCCTAAACAACTTCAATGTAATGTGACAGCACAGATGAAGGAGCTAGAACCCAGGTGTCCTGATTCCCAACCCACCCTCCCCCCATGCTGCTCTAACCTCTGGACTCCACTCCCAAGCTAGGGATAGAGCCCAGGAGTCTGGGCTCCCAGCCCCTACTTAAGATCCCCCTGTGTCTCTCTCCTGCTCTCAGTCTCTCTCTGTGTCTCAGGGGGTTTATCTCGGTACCAGCTCTACCACCCAGGTTCCATCGCCCCCAGCTCCAAACCCTTCCCTAGCTGGGTCCTGGGAGCCAGCGATCGCCCTGGCAGAAGTATCTGACTCTGGAGAGGAGCCAGGATTTGCAAACAGCCCAGAGAGCTGCCGGCTTCATTCCCCACAATCCCTCATCCCCCAACACTCACCAGCCCCAGCCCCAGGGGGCAGGAGAAAGGCCACGAGCAGCAGGATCAGGATCAACATCATCACCATCTGGGGAAAGCAACAGTGCACGTGCCTCAGCCCTGAGGGATTTATAGAGCCAGCAGCAAACCACAAGTCACATATGCTCTGCCCTCGTGGGGAGCTGGGACCACGCAGGCGCCCTCAGAAACCTCAGCATTACTCCACTGACACATGGGGGGCATGAGGGAGGGAGCTTGTGGCTGGAGATCAAGGAGGAAGGAGCTCAGGGGAAAGTCCCTCTGGGACAGGACATCTCTCTCCCCCCCCCCCGGGAAACATATGGAAGCAGGGCCCCCTGGGGCCTGCCTGGAGCCCAGCACACCTGGCGCCAGGCTCATCTGGAGCTCACCCGTCTCCTCTGCTCCAGCAGCTCATCTGGCGGGGAGTGCGGCCGACGCTGAGTCACCCACTGACTTGGCTCAGCTCCCTGCTTCCTCTCCAGTGTGCATCTCAGAGCAGTGAGAAGGGGATGGGGGCCCTGCTGTGACTTCGTGTAGCCCAGCCACAGAGCCCATGGCAGAAATTCTCCCAGATCCTGGGGAGCACATAGGCCACCCAGTGGTGGACATGGAGGAGCACTGATACCATGGTGATGGGTGATGGGGAAGGCCCTAAACAGACGGTGCTGGAGCCGTGTTCCTCTGGGCCTGCCCCATGGCTGGCATGGTTGAGTAAAGAGCAAATGTTCCCACACAACAGGGGTGACCATTTGGAAGTGTGACCCTGGCTGTCCAGACATTTGAACATCTCACGCAGCTACAATTCTGGGCCCCAGAAAGTGGCTTAATATTGTCCTGAGGCCCCGGGCCCATTTCTCCAACAAGCTCCGAGCTCTCCTGAAATGCCCTGGTGTATTTTGTCAGCCCCAGCATCAGGAGTCATGGGATCACCTGAAAATATTGTCTTCTCTTGTGGTAAATTGGATGTTTTGAGCCCACAAAGCTGCAGAGAAGAGCTTGAAGACTTGACCCATATATGCATAAAGCCCCCTGGTCTTCTCCTCATCCGTGCCACTCCCTCAAGGTGCCCTAATACAACTGAGACAACACTCACAGAGCATGAGATCCCTTTATTCATTCCCAGACGACGTCTTCCCATCCCCCACGAGCGGCATCTTCATGGCCTTTCTGAGGAGGGGGCAGCCCTTCTGCCTGGGCCCACAGGGGTTGCAGCCCCAGCTGGGTGGGACAGGAAATCTTAGGGTTAGGTTCCCAGTTCATAGGTGGGTGCTAGGCTGTCCTGGGGCATGTACACCCAGTCACATGGTAGGGAGAAATGACGGGCCCCCAACATGTGCAGACACTCAGCATTTTGGGCTCTGCACAGCTGGGGCTGTGTCCAGTCTGGTGCACCCTATGGGATCAATTGATTTGGCCTCTGAAACGGGCTGCAGTGGGTTTTTTTTGGTGTGGTGTTGATGTACCCCCAGTGTCCAGGGCCTGGACAGTAAAACCCTCCCATCTGTAGCAGGCTATCATCCCTGAGGCCTGACTGTCAAGCTGAACATCTGAGCAGGGATATCTCCCCATCCCCCTGGCAGTGAAAGCTGTTTCCCAACATATGGCCGTGTCACGAATGGAAACAGTTCTCAGAGTCAGACATTAGGTAGCACAAATGGAGCTGTCTGAGGGCCTGAGTCCAGGACTGGATTGGAGGGTCTGCAGGTCGGGATTGAGGGTCACCAGCAGAGATGACCCATGCCTGCTCATAGTGGGGGCCCAGAATGAGGGCAGTCCGTTTCATCAGTGCAATCCAGCATGCTCAGTCCATGTAAGCATGGTCCGTATAAGCCAAATAGGAAATCTGGGGGGGCATTTGTGGTCACATACCGCCCACCCCCCACCGCACCCCCTGTGGCTTGCACCAGCAAGACCGTTAAATGTCTATATCTTTCTCTGAAAAATTGTTATTTCTCCACTCCCCACGGGCTGACTTATTTCCTTCTTCTCTGGGTTCTTAGAAAACTTTCAAGACCATTTTTTTTTCTCAGAGTAATGTTTCATAACTCCCTGGCCCCTGGCTAGCTGGTCACCAGATAACGGGCAACGGAGGGGAACAAAGTTCAGGGGATTTCATCTCAGGAGACATTTCATAGAGTAGAATCATAGAAATATCATCCTGGAAGGGACATCGAGAGGTCACTTGGTCCATCCCCCTGTTGTGAGGCAGAACCAAGTCAACCTAGACCATCCAGGACAGGTGTTTGTCCAATCTGGGCTTAAAAACCTTCAGTGATGGGGATTCCACAACCTCCCTTGGGATCCTATTCCAGAGATTAACTTCATTTAGGGTTAGAAAGTTTTTTCCTATGACTAACGACAATCTCCCTTGCTGCAGATGAAGCCCATTACTTGATGTCCTACCATCAGTGGACATCAAGAACAATTGACCCCCATACTTTTTAGAACAGCCCTTATCTTATTGGAAGACTGTTTTCAGGTTCCCCCTTAGCCTCCTCTTCTCTAGACTAAACATACCCAGTTTTTTTCACCTGTCCTCCTAGGTCAGGTTTTCTAAACCTTTGACTATTTTTGTGGCTGCCCTCCGGAAGCTCTCCAGTTTTTCTACATCTCTCCTAAAGCGTGGCACCCAGAACTGGACACGGTAGAATCATAGAATTATAGAAGATTAGGGTTAGAAGAGACCTCAGTAGGTCATCTAGTCCAACTCCGTGCTCAAAGAAGGACCAATCCCCAACTAAATAATCCCAGCCAGGGTTTTGTCAAGCCTGACCTTAAAACCTCTAAGGAAGGAGATTCCACCATCTCCCTAGGTAACCCATTCCAGTGCTTCACCCCCTACCTAGTGAAATAATTTTTCCTAATATCAAACCTATACCTGCCCCACTGCAACTTGATATTCTTTCTTCTTGTTCTGTCATCTGCCACCACTGAGAACAGCCTAGCTCCATCCTCTTTGGAACCCTCTTCAGGTAGTTGAAGGCTGCTATCAAATCCCCCTCACTCTATTCTTCTGAAGACTAAATAAGCCCAGTTCCCTCAGTCTCCCTCATAAGTCATATGCCCCAGTCTCCTTATCATTTCCATACCCTCCGCTGGACTCTCTCCAATTTGTTCACATCCTTTCTGTAGTGTGCGGCACAAAACTGGACACAATATTCCAGATGTGGCCTCATCAATGCCAAATAGAGGGGAATAATCACTTCCTTCGATCTGCTGGCAATGCTCCTACTAATGCAGCCCAATATGGCGTTAGTTACCTTGGCAACAAAGGCATACTGTTGACTCATATCCAGCTTCTCATCCACTGTAATCCCCAGGGCCTTTTCTGCACAACTGCTGCTTAGCCAGATGGTCCCCAGCCTGCAACGGTGAATGGGATTCTTCCATCCTAAGTGCAGGACTCTGCACTTGTCCTTGTTGAACCTCATCAGATTTCTTTTGGCCCAATCCTTCAATTTGTCTGGGTCACTCTGAACCTTATCCCTACCTTCCAGCATATGTATCTCTCCCCCAAGCTTAGTGTCATCCGTGAACTTGCTGAGGGTGCAATCCATCCCATCATCCAGATCATTAATGAAGATGTTGAACAAAACCAGGCCCAGGCCCAACCCCTGGGGCACTCCACTTGATGCCAGCTGCCAACTAAACATTGAGCCGTTGATCACTACCTGTTGAGCCTGACAATCTAGCCACCTTATAGTCCATTTATCAAATCCATACTTTTTTACCATGCTGGCAAGAATAATGTTGGAGACAGTATCAAAAGCTTTGCTAAAGTCAAGATATATCACATCCACTGCTTTCCCCATATCCACAGAGCCAGTTATCTTATCATAGAAGGAAATCTGTTTGGTAAGGCATGACTTGGCCTTGGTGAATCCATGTTGACTGTTCCTGATCACCTTCCTCTCCTCCAAGTGCTTTAAAATGGATTCCTTGAGGACCTGCCCCATAATTTTTCCTGGGATTGAGGTGAGACTGTAGTTTTCTAGAGTCTCCTTCTTCCCTTTTTAAAAGATGGACACTATATTTGCCTTTTTCCAATCGTCCAGGACATCCACCGGTCACTGTGAGTTTTCAAAGATAATGGCCAATGTCTCTGCAATCATATCAGTGAACTCCCTCACCACCCTCAGATACATTCCATCCAGCCCCATGGACTTGTGCTGTCCAGCTTTTCTAAATAGTCCTTAACCTGTTCTCTCACCACTAAGGGCTGCTCACCTCCTCCCCATACTGTGCTGCCCAGTGCAGCAGTCTGGGAGCTGACCTTGTCTGTGAAGACCGAGGCAAAAAAAGCATTAAGTAATTCAGCTTTTTCTAGATCATCTGTCACTAGGTTGCCTCCCCTATTCAGTAAGGGTCACATACTTTCCCTGACCTTCTTCTCCTTGCTAACATACCTGTAGAAACCCTTCTTGTTACCCTTCACATTCCTTGCAAGATGCAATTCTAGTTCTGCTTTGGCCTTCCCGATTACACCCCTGCATGCTCGAGCAATATTTTTATACTCCTCACTAGTCATCTGTCCCAGTTTCCACTTCTTGTAACTTCCTTTTGGTGTTTAAACTCACCAAAGATTTCTCTGTTAAGCCAAGCTGGTCGCCTGCCACATTTGCTACTCTTTATGCACATCAGGATGTACTCACCAGTGCCAGGTAGAGTGGGACAATTACCTCAGTGTCTTACATAGGACACTCCTATTAATACCCCCCAGAATGATACTAACCTTTTCCCCAACCGCATCACACTACTGACTCATATTCAATGTGTGATCCACTATAGCCTCCGGATCCTTTTCAGCAGTACTAGCACCTAGCCAGAGATTCCCCATTTTGTAGCTGTGCATTTGACTTTTCCTTCCTAAGTGTAGCACTTTGCACTTGTCCTTATTGAATTTCATCTTATTGATTCCAGACCAATTCGCTAATCTGTCAACTTTGTTTCAATATCTAGTCCTGTACTCAAAAGTATTTGTAGTCCCTCTCGACCTGATGTCATCTGCAAATATAATATTTATATTCTCCACTCCATAATCTAAGCCATTAATGAAAATAT